TCAACTTAAGAACAAACCTACAGTCCCTATCTTGTACGTAACCCGGGGACTGCCTGTACTTGATGCTCTCTCCAGTGGAAAAGAACCAGGTAACGATGGGATTCCAGCTGAAGTCCTGAAGACTAACAAGGGTGTCCTCATCCCCTTCCTCTATGACTTACTTATAAAATGTTGGTGAACGGGAATGATCCCTCATGATATGAGGGATGCAAACATCATTACTCTCTATAAAAACAAAGGTGATAAGGGGGACTGTAACAACTACAGAGGCATCTCTTTGCTAAGCATTACAGGTAAAGCATTTGCCTGTGTCATTTTTAATTGCCTGCAAAAACTCGCAGGTCGAGTCTATCCAGAAAAACAGTGTGGCTTCAGGGCTGGCAGGTCAACAATGGACATGATTTTTTCTCTTTGACAACTACAAGAAAAATGCAGAGAGCAAGGAAAGCTGTTGTTTATAGCATTTGTGGACTTAGCAAAGGCATTCAATACAGTCAGTAGATCAGGACTGTACAAAGTGTTAACTAAGATTGGCTGTGCACCAACTCTAGTCAAGCTCATAATACCTTTTCATGAAGATATGAAAGCAACAGTGTACTATGATGGATCTACATCTGAATCCTTTGTGGTGAAGAGTGGAGTCAAACAGTGATGTGTCCTTGCTCCTACCCTCTTTGGTATATTCTTCTCAGTCCTATTAAATTGTGCATTTCTAAACTCAGTGATGTATTTCTCCATACAAGGTTAGATGGTTCTCTTTACAACCTAAAGGTTAAAACTAAGGTCAAGAAAGTTCTCATTAGAGAACTCCTATTTGCAGATGACGCAGCACTTGTCGCACATAATGAAGACACACTACAGGCAGTGATGGGTTCTCTGTCCAGAGTTAGCAAACTGTTCTCTCTCGACATAAACATGAAGCAAACTGTTCTCTCTCGACATAAACATGAAGCAAACTGTTCTCTCTCGACATAAACATGAAGCAAACTGTTCTCTCTCGACATAAACATGAAGCAAACTGTTCTCTCTCGACATAAACATGAAGCAAACTGTTCTCTCTCGACATAAACATGAAGAAAACTATTGTGTTTGCTCAAGGTGTACCTCAACCACCCAAGGTCATTCTGAATGACAGTCCTTTAGAGGTAGTTCAACAATTCTGTTACTTTGGGTCTACTGTCACCACAAATGTCTCCATGGATGAAGAACTGAACATCAGAATTGGGAAGACAGCCACAACATTTGACAGACTTACGAAATGAGCATGGAACAATCCCAAACTGACATTGAAAACGAAGATACTGATATACCAAGCGTGCGTATTAAGTGTCTTGCTTTATGGATCGGAGACCTGGACTACCTATTCGTGCCAAGAGAAAAAATTGAGCAGTTTCCACTTTCGCTGCCTTCGCAGAATCATAAATATTAAGTGGCAAGACAAAGTTTCAAATGTAGATGTCCTATGAAGAGCTGGCATACCCAGTCTCATAGCGATCCTTAACAGAAGACTCGGTGGCTTGGCCACGTGAGGAGAATGAGTGATAATCACCTTCCTAAAGAAATCCTCTTTGGTGAACTAACAAGTGGAGGAAAGTCAAAGTTAAGATTCAAGGATACATGTAAAAACACTATGAAAAGGTTTAACATCAATCCAAGCTCTTGGGAATCTACGTCATCAGATCGCAACACCTGGTGACAATTATTACAAAAGGCAAGTCATTTTTTTATAGGACCTGTGCAAGTCATGCAAAAGAACTCTGCTTCAGAAGGAAAAATTCTCAGACTCATGAAAATGGAAGTAGACCAGCATGTAGCTATTGTAATCGACTGTGCAAATCCAATATTGGACACATAAGCCATGAAAGAAGTTGCAGATCCAGGCACAACTCAGATTGTCACTGCCACTGCTTACCACCATCTCTCAAGACGAATGGGCCATATATATATAGTTTCAGTTCTTAAATTAGGAATGGCATCAGAAAAACCCACAAAAAGTAAAGATTCTAATTTTTTAGCCTTGGACCTTCTTGTGCCTGTTTACTTGCTGCTGCTTGTTCTTTACTACAGTGTCACTGAGCACTAAAATAAAAATGGCAGACGATCTAGGTGTCAGGTGGCTGTTTTTCAGAGATGCTGATCATCAATTACAGTTAATGAGAGCTGCATGGACTCAGCACCCTGAAAATCAGGACCCAGATAATTTACCATTGTGCAGACTGAATTAAAATATTAGTATTGTGGATTGGAAAAACTATTACTGAAGCGGGTGGTTGAACCACCACTGAAACAGTTAATCTCCTTTATCACATTCCCCTCTTAAAGGCATATGGGAGTCCACTGGGGTGGAGTGGTGCACTGGGTATTGTTTTGGCTAAATTCATGGGAGAGGAGCTCATATGGGAACATACAGAGAAGGAAGCACCACTTCCAGCTGGCCCTAGATAAGCACAGGATGTTGCTGGTTAAAAGAGATTTGTCATTTCTGGGCCTGCAAATAGAGAGGTTGCTTCCTGCATTCCCAGAATGGAGAGAATATATTCATGAACTGTTCCATCCTCAGGCAATTTTTCTCTCCTTTTCTCCTCCACGTGCCTCATATGGATTTACCACATTTAAAAAAAAATATAGGCAAGGTACCTTTGATCTGACTTTCAAGTTAGTTAAGTGGAAAGAGAGTTAATGAGTTTTAAGTGCAACCATATGTCTGTGTATGGCAACTGCCTAGTTAATTACCTTGTATTTGAAGAACACCAAGAAGTTTTCTAGGCCCCACAATTTGAGTCCCTCAAAGATATTATGACAAGCTATGTGGAAAGGCTCTGGGGTATGAGGACCGAACTCAGCAGTCTACTCTAAGAAACAGGACATAAACTCCAAAATAGCTGTGAGTTCTATACTTAGATTTCACCAAGCAAATATCAAATGTAAACTCCTATACCAGTCTGATAGTGAAGTCACAGATAGAGAATAGCCAATTGCACTATCTTGTCACCAAGAGAACCTTGACTTTGTGAGAGATGGTCCCTTATACCAAAAACAATATTGAGGTTACTCCCAATCCCAAAAGACCAGTCACACACTCCTAGGGTGACCATATTTCCCAAAGGAAAAATGGGACAAGACAGCAGACTAGCCTGAGCGCTGCCCCCTGCTCCACATGGGCCTAGCAGCTCACCTTTCTTGCCAAAGCTGTCCCACAGGGTTGGGGAGGGGGCTACACTCAAAGGCTGAGAGAGCAGAAACTGTGAGAGTTAGGCCCAGAGCTGCAAGGAGCAGAAGCAGAGCAGAGAGGCAGCAAGATTTGGGTCCCCGCTCGACATTCACCAACGGGATGCAGTTGGAAGCAGAGCAACTTCACCCCAGCTCACTCTGCTCCCTCAGCTCGCCTTGCTTGGGGGCTTGTGAGAAGGGGTAACACTTCCGCTCCACACTCACTGGCTACAAGAAGCAAAGTGATGCATCTGAGGACTGGTGGAGCAGAGTGGGCTGGGACCAGGTTGCTCTGCTTCCCACTTCTATTGGCAAGTGTTGGGATGGGCCTGACCTTGCTGTCAGTGCCAGGCCCCCACTAATCACGCAGGTCACGTTGCTTGGAGGAGGGAGTTTGGGGGAAGGAGCAGGAGCCAGAAGAGTCAAGGCTTAAGGGAGGGTGGAATGGGGCACAACAGGAGTGGGAAGAGGGGGGAGTAGGGACAGAATGGGAGGTTGTCCTAAGTGGACCCTAAAATTCTGCCAGTGAGCTTGCACAAACATGTCCTGGCACCACCTCACTACTGCTGTGCCCTAGTGCAAGAAATAGTTCTGGTGGCCCAGAAGCAGGATTGTCAAACTAAATCTTCCCCTCTCTGTATTGTTTGTGGGGCCCAATCCTGTGTGTGCTGGATCCAATCCTCTAGGTGTGCTAGCACATACTAAGCAGGTAGCAAGAGAGAAAGTGTCTCTCAGAATACCCAATAGGTAGGGCACTCACCAGGGGTGTGGAAGGTTAAGATTTAAATCCCCTCTGCCCAGTCTGGAGCACCAATTTGAATTTCATTCTCCGACATCCTAAGTAAGTGCCATAACAACTGGGTGATAGTCCAGTATCTCTCTCTCTAACCAAATCAATATTTAATTATTTATAAACAGCTTCAACTGAAGAGCTGGAGGGAGCCCAGAATACCAAATAGCCTGATAATCATGGCCTGCGCCAGCTTGGTTCATACTCCAAATCGGCCAAAGGAAGGATCTGAATCCAAGACTCCTACCTCCCAGATCAGTGTTCTAACCACCGGGCTATCATGGAGTAGCAGCATTTCTCTCTCTCATTTTTTGTGAGAAAAGGCTGACCTGGCTTAGTCACTTGATTCCAAGGGTCCAGAACAGAGGGAGGTGGCCTCATAGAATCTAAGGCCCTTATTAATGGGAGTTAGGCCCCTCAACATCTCTTGACCTACACACACCACCCTCTTCTTTCTGCTTTTGCTTTTGGCCAATTTAGATGACTAAGCTTACTGACTTCTGAGAATCTCTTTGGCATCTAACTCTCCTCATACAACACTTGGGGAGCTTGAATAGACATCTAACTCAGAGCTGAACATTCCATTAAGCAACAAGGAACCCAGACTTAGTGTTGCGACACCCAAGTCCTTTTTATGAATCTAGCTGTTGGTCTAATGCATAACAGTTATTCTTCTTACAATATAATCAGTGTTCAAAAGCAAGGTTCATAAGAGTAATGTTATGGTATACACTCAGTGTATTAAAACAAAGGATTCCAAAAAACACACACTTCCATAGAAGTACCAGTTTAATTCACCATTTACAGGAATGTATGGATTCACTTTTTTTTTAAATGGGATGTTTCAGGCTTTTTATAATTGCTATCACTGAATGCCAAACCATGGAGTGTAACAACAGCTCTTTGAATCAATGGACATAGAATTTAGCTTACTATTCAACATCTGTTTGTGTTAAAAAAAACCCACATGTACTATACTTCAGTAGGTCTCAAACTTCATTTAGGTTTCATCAACTGCTCTGGTTAAGTTCACTTTAACCATACAAGTAGTTGGGGTTGATCCTCCTCTGAGACCGGCCAGGAAAATCTGTGGCCTGGGTACATTGCTAGAGTTGTCAAGTTTAGTCTGTGTTCCAAAATCCTTTGGCAAATACACTTGGGTAGAGTTATCTCTTCTCATGTGACTGAGAATAGTCTGCACTGAGTGAGTTAATTTCCTACGCAAATTAGCCTAAATATGAAAACAGAATCAGAAATGTTATTCTTAACTATAATTTTTCTGAGACATGTAAATGTTATAGATTACAATGATGCATATTTTTCTCTTTTACATGTGTATGGCTCCCAAGTTTCACAAATCCATAACCTTGGAATATGTCGTTTTAGCACCAATCTGCTGAGGCAACCTTCATGAAAAATGCTACAAAAGAGCTTTTTCTGAATTCTTCCTACTATTGAGCCAGTGCTTTAAAACAGTCTGCTTCTCATTCCATGAACTGTTAATATTAGCAATGATATAAAAGAATATAAATCACATGACAAAGTTGCTGTTGTCAGACTGTATGAAACTAACCAAACAATAGGTTGTTATTTGGGAATTAAGCATTCCCCAAAAAAGGACTAGCTCCACTTCCTGCAGGGTGCTGATACCCTCAAATAATTTTCCTTGGTCCTGGCATGTATATGCAAATGTAAATGTAAATTATTAAAATAGGAAAAATAAATTCAAAATGGTACAAGTAATGTACTGCCATTAAAACCTAAAAGCATTTTACAAATTCCACCCAAACTAAAAATAAAAAAAAAAGCAATAAGTAATATAAATATTTTTTCTACTAATCAAATGTTTTAAAATATTACTACATGTGTTTTATTAATGTCAAAAGCAAATATAAAATTTCCCTAGTCTTCAATATTAATTAAATATTAATAAAACCCATATTTTACAAAATCTGGACCATAAAAATCCCCCAAATAAAAAAAATAAATTAAAAACCATCTTCAAAAACCTAAAATTAGATATAAATATACAAAAAAAAGCTTTACACCCACCACATCTATATTTAAAAATAACACAATTCCCCTCGCTCCCTCCCCCCATTTTCTCATAAATCCATTTGCAAATATATTTGTAATTATTTATGTGGGTAATAGTTATATGTGCTAGGGATGCTAGATATCGTTTATTTTAGTTACCATGTAGCCACAACAGTTTTTAGCGGTTACACGGTTACTAAAATGCACCCCTGTAGGGGTAGGGTCGGCAGCCAGTGAACTCCTGGCTCGCCTCCCAGAGAGCCCGCTGGTACCCCATGCTGATGCCTCTGACATACAGGCAGCACCAGCCCCTGTCTGCAGGAGGTCTGCGATTCCCACAGACAGAGGCTGCTCTGCCATCTCATGAGCACCAGCTTCTGCCTACTCTCTACCTGCTGCCTCCATGGGAAGCAGCAATAGAGGGGCAGGTGGCTTCGCGGAGCTAGTGTGCACAGAGACACAGCTTAAAAGCTGTCTCCCAGCACATATCAGATCTCACTGCCTCTCACGCTGCTGCCTCTAATATCAGAGACAGCAGCACAGGGGTGAAGGTCGGGGGCAGAGGCCTCCACGGGATCTGGTGCTTGTGGGGAGCCAGCTTTTAAGCAGCCTGTGGCGGGGAGGAGGCAGGTCGCTCTGCAGGAGCCAGCTCCCCACAGACCTCAATTCCTGCCTCCTGTGAGACAGCAAGTGGGGAGAGGAGTGTGCATGTAATCATTTGGATTAACTGATAAACCTAGGCTTATCGGTTAATCATTTAAACGACTATATGCCAATATCCCTAATATGTGCCTTAAAAGTTAATGCCTGTGTTAATCCACAATCATAAAAAAATGTCTTGTGACTTGGCGGCATATCTATTAATGTATAAAGCTCTGCATGCAGTAATTTTATCATCTTAGCTTTTTTGTATCATTTTACTACAAAAGATATAGCATATTGCCTTCAAATGGTTAAGCTCTCTACATTATTTAAGCTGTCTGAATACTGAATAGCACCATAAAAATTCACTGTTATCTGAAAAGATGTTACAACTTAAAGTGCCTGAGACTTTAGATCCAATGGATCTATCCATGAAAATATTGCTCAAACCAAAAAACAAAACCAAAAGATTTTGGGGGTGGAAAAGCTTTTGAAACAGGAATATGAAATATAGTGAAATGAGATAAAAGAAAAAGCAATTACAGGAACTTGCCTCTTCATAGATTTTAAAACCAGAATGGAGATAAATTATGATAATCTAATCTGACCATAAAAAATATGCCAATTTTTTAAAGGCTTAATCTTCCAGTAATACCAATAACAAACCAATTTTATGGCTTTTCTCCTCAGTTCCCATTCGTTCCACTCATAGGACTTCACAATTGTTGGAGGCAATATATGGGTGTCAGTCTGAGTACTGCTGTCACATTTGGTGATTGGTTTCATTGAATGTTTGTCTCCACTTCCAACCTGGATGAAGACATAGGTATTTATTAGAAAAATCCTTAAGTTGCAGGAAAAACAACATATAGACACAGCAAAGTCTTCTTTTAAACAAACACTGAGAAGAATGATGAAAGATTTAAAGACTTGAATACAAAATATAAAATTATATTACAGGTTGAACCTCTCTTGTCTGGCGCCACTGGGACCTGACTGGTGCCAAACCAGAGAATTTGCTGAACCATGGGAGATCAGTATTGTTTAGCAGCATTACCAACACATCCACTGCTTACTGGGCTCTTAGAAGACCATTGGGGTAAATTACAGCTAAATAATAGCACAGAACTCAGAGCCAGGACTGATCGCTGTAAACAAACTTTATGGAATCATGGGATATTCAGCCACACCCATGATAAGTGGATATCCAGCTAACTAAATTTCATGCCAGAACCACCGATGTTGTTGGATCAGAGTGTGCCAGACTAGAGTTTGAACTTTTAGTAACTAATGATTAATAAACTTAAAAAACAACCAATAGTCTGGTAGCACTTTAAAGACTAACAAAACATGTAGATGGTATCATAAGCTTTCGTGGGCACAGCCCACTTCTTCAGATGACCATCTGAACATGTAGATAACCATATGAAGAAGAGGGCTGTGCCCACAAAAGCTCATGTTACCATCTACATGTTTTGTTAGTCTTTAAAGTGCTACCAGACTATTGGTTGTTTTTTAAAGTTTATCCTGTACAGACTAACTCGGCTATCCCTTGAAGCTAATTATTAATAATCATATTATGTTTATACAGTATCTGTCATTCCAGAGGATTCTAAAGTACTTTACAGATTTAAACTAATAAACTAAATTTGTGCAGGGGGTATTGAAAAATAGCTACCTCTGGGATAAAGTATCAAAGTATTTGTTTGACTATGTGTTTCGCAGTTTGAAAAGAGCAGCAGTTGGAAAAATTTGAAAAGTGTGAATTGGGAGTGCTTTCTTCCAGCTGGGCCTCAGGGGCTAATTGGATTAGAGGCCAGGCTTTGAGCTGGGCCTAGCCAGCAGCCTTATAAAAAGGCAGCCCGAGCAAACGCAGTGAGCAACAAAGAGGGCAGCAGTGAATAGGGGGAGCCCTATAGTGTTTGGTGGTCTTTTTCTTGTTTTTTTTTCCTTTTCTCCCCTTCAAAGGGGCATTTAAAAACACCTGAGGAATCTCTCTGAAGGAAGGCAGGTATGGAAGGTTCTGCTGTTGTTACCTGCACAGCATGTGCCATGTTTGTCTTCCTCCCGGAAGACAGAAGGGATTTCATCTGCACTAAGTGCAAGCTGGTCGCCATTTTGGAATTAAAAATTAGAGGCCCAAGTATCATCAACCCTACGTTCCATCAGAGAAGATGAAGACTTCCTCGATAGAAGGCAGCATTTAATACTGCAGGCACAGCAGACTGAAGAACCAGTGAGGGCAGCACAGAACAAGGAAAAACTGGCAGCATGTAGCCTCCAGGAGAAGAAAGCCAACTCAGGTATCCCCAATTCCAGTAGAGGTAAGTAATCGCTTTCAGGCTCTCTGCACAGGTACTACAGTGGAGAATGCTTTGGCAGGGACCTCTCAGGGAAGAGATCAGATGGAGACCTTATCAACCAGAAGGCATGGAATGCATAGTCCTAGAGGTGGGGGTTCCACGACCACCACCCACAAAAGACAACAACGGGTGCTGGTGGTGGTCGGGGACTCCCTCCTAAGAGAGACAGAGGCATCAGTCTGTCATCCAGACCTGGAATCTCAAGAAGTGTGCTGCTTACCAGGAGCTAGAATTCAGGATGTGACTGACAGTCTTCCAAAACTGATCCAACCTTCAGATCATTACCCCTTTCTGCTTCTCCATGTCAGAACTAACGATACGGCCAAGAATGACCTTGAGCAGGGTACTGCAAATTATAGGAAGAAGGATCAAGGAATTTGAAGTGCAAGTTGTGTTCTCATCCATCCTCCCTGTTGAAGGAAAAGGTCCAGATAGGGATCATCGAATTGTGGACGTAAATGCGTGGTTGCGAAGTGGTGTCGGAGAAAGGGCTTTGGTTTCTTTGACCATGGGACTCTGTTCCGGGCACAAGGATTGCTAGGAAGTGATGGGATCCACCTAACCAAGAGAGGAAAGAACATCTTCATGGGCAGGCTTGCAAACCTAGTGAGGAGGACTTTAAACTAATTCGCTGGGGGACGGTGACCTAAGCCCTGAGGTAAGTGGGGATACCGAGAAGAAACACAAGGAGGAAGGAGCAACAAAGGAGGACTCCTGATTCAAATGGAAAAGGCAGGGCAATCAACTGGTTATCTAAGGTGTTTGTACATGAATGCAAGAAGCCTGGGAAACAAACAGGAAGAATTAGAAGCCCTGGCACAGTCAAAGAACTATGGTTTGATTGGAATAATAGAGACTTGTGATATGATTCATATGACTGTAGCACTGTCATGGAAGGGTATAAACTGTTCAAGAAGAATAGGTGGGGGACAAAAGGAGGAGGAGTTGCACTGTATGGTAAGAGAGCAGTATGATTGCTCAGAGCTCTGGTATATAGAGGGAGAAAAGCCTGTTGAGAGTCTATGGCTTAAGTTTAGCGGCAGGAGCAACAGGGGTGATGTTGTAGTTGATGTCTGCTATAGACCACTACATCAGGTGGATGAGGTAGACAAGGCTTTCTTCAGACAACTGAGAGAAGCTTCCAGATCACAGGCCCTGGTTCTCATGGGGGACCAATACAGCAGTACACAGACAATCCAGGAAGTTTTTAGAGAATGTCGGGGATAACTTCCTGGTACAAGAGCTGAAGGAACGGACCAGGTGCCATATGCAGCTTGACCTGCTGCTCACAAATAGGGAGGAACTAGTACGGGAAGTAGAGGTGGGTGGCAACCTGGGAAGCAGTGATCATGAGATGGTAGATTTCAGCATCCTGACAAAAGGAAGAAAGGAGAGTAGCAAAATACACACCCTGGACTTCAGAAAAGCAGACTTGGACTCCCGCAGAGAACTGATGGGCAGGATCCCCTGGGATACTAACATGAAGAGGAAAGGAGTCCAGGAGAGCAGGCAGTATTTTAAAGAAATCTTACTAAAGGCACAGGAAGAAACCATCCCAATGCACAGTAAGAAACGCAAATATGGTATGTGAACAGATTGGCTTACTGAGGAAATCCTTAGTGAGCTTAAACACAAAAAGGAAGCTTATAAGAAGTGGAAACCTGGACAGATAACTAGGGAGGAGTATAAATATACTGCTCCAGAATGCAGGGGAGTAATCAGGAAGGCAAAAGTGCAATTGAAATTGCAGCTAGCAAGGGGTGTGAAGGATAACAATAAAGGTTTCTACAAGCATGTTAGCAATAAGAGGGTGCTCAAAGAGGGTGTGGGGCCCTTACTGGATGAGGGAGGTAACCTAGTGACAGATGATGTGGAGAAAACTGAAATACTCAATGCTTTCTTTACCTCTGTATTCACGGACAAGGTGGGCTCCCAGACTAATGCGCTAAGTGACACAAGATGGGATGAAGCTTCACAGAGGTCAGCTTCATTAGCAAGTTCGGTATGCATACATTACCCCGCTAGTTCAAACTAGCGGGGTAGTGTAGACGTACCCTAAGATAGAAAGCTGGCTAGATTGTCAGTCCTAACAGGTAGTGATCAACAGCTCGATGTCAGATTGGTGGTAGAGATGTTAAATATCAGTTAATTGAATAATCGAGTAACCTCATGAATTTTTATCGTTTAGTTGACTATTCTGTAGTCCTCGGGGGCCGAGCTGACAGCCACTGTATCAGAGGAGGCAACGCAGGGTGCCAGGCAGGAGCTGGTTCATGAGGGGAGCCAGTTCCCCTTGTGGACTGCCTGCCTGTTGTCCAGTGCTGCTGCCTCTGATAAAGAGGCGGCAGCCCGTCTAAGCGAGGGAAGCAGGGGTCTGAGATCCTGTACCCGGCGTGAGCCGGAAGTGAGCCAGGCTGCCTGCCTGCCTGGCTCCTAATACATTTTAAATGCAGAGCAGCAGCAAGGGTAAATCTCAGACCCGGCCTGAGCCAGGCTGCTAAAAAATGTACTGGCAAGAGTGGGGGAAGGGAAATACGTGCAGTCTATAGCATTAACCTGTAAGCTTTTGCTTATTGGTTAATCGACTACACTATTACAACCCTAGTTGGCGGTCGGTTTCCAGCAGAGTGTCCCAAGGATTGGTTCTAGGGCTGGTTTTGTTCAACATCTTTATTAATGACCTGGATGAGGAGATGGATTGCATCCTCAGCAAGTCTGTGAATGACACTAAGCTAGGGGTAGAGGTAGATATGTTGGAGGACAAGAATAAGGTCCAGAGTGACCTAGACAGATTAGAGCAGGGCTACTCTACTATGGAAGCCCCGGGGGCCAGTGATATTGTCAGCACATGCCGAGGGCCGCAACTTAAGTGTCGTTGCATATACGTGCAAATATATATGCAGATATATGCAAATAGCTTCGTTCACACTGAGGGGCATGAATACAAAGCACTTCCCACAATGCCCCGGCGCTCCCAGCAACTCCTCCCTGGGGGTTAGAAATGCTGACACCATGTACCCGTCTGATCCAGCAGCCTGTCCTCTTGCATCTTTCAATGGTCATCCCATCTGGGAGATGCCTTGCTGTTGTGGAGGGTGTTCCCAGTGGAGGCCATGTTCAAAGGATCCCACCAGCGGGTGACGTGTTGAGCCTCATGTAAACCCAAACCACACCACGGGTCGCAAACAAACAGGCTGCGTACCATGTGTTGAATAACCCTGGATTAGAGGATTGGGCCAAAAGAAATCTGATGAGGTTCAACAAGGACAAGTGCAGAGTCCTTGTCTTGGGATGGAAGAATCCCAAGCATTGTTACAGACTGGGGACCAACTGGCTAAGTAGCTGTTCAGTAGAAAAGGACCTGGGGCTTATAGTGGATGAGAAGTTGGATGCGAGTCAACAGTGTGCTATTGTAGCCAAGAAGGCGAATGGAATATTAGGTAGCATTAGGAGAAGTATTGCTAGCAGATCTAGAGAAGTGATTATTCCTCTTTATTCGGCACTGGTGAGGCCACATCTAGAGTACTGAATCCAATTCTGGGCTCCCCATTGAAGAGAGTCTAGCGCAGGGCAACGAAAATGATTAGGGGGCTGGAGCGCATGACCACCTATAAGGAGACGCTGAGGGATTTGTGTTTATTTAGTCTGCAGAAGAGAAAAGTGAGGGGGGATTTGATAGCAGCCTTCAATATCCTGAAAGGAGGTTCCAAAGAGGATGGAGAAAGGTTGTTGTCAGTAGTGACAGATGGCAGAACAAAGAGCAATGGTCTCAGGTTACAGTATGGGAGGACTAGGTCAGATATTAAGAAAAACTATTTTACTAGGAGAGTGAAGTATTGGAATGGGTTCCCTAGGGAGGTGGTGGAATCTCCATCCCTAGAGGTTTTTACATCTTGGCTTGACAAAGTCCTGACTGGGGTGATTTAGTTGGGATTGGTCCTGCCTTAGGCTAGGGACTGGACTGAATGACCTCCTAAGGTCTCTTCCAGCCCTAGGGTTCTATGATTCTAAAGCCTAGCACTTGTTTAAGAATACACAGGACAATTACATGAAAAATAGACAACTGAAACAGTGGGGGAAATTTAAAAAGTAGAATGCAGCTGTCCAAGCTGGAATTTGTCCAGGATCCAAATATTAACACTTATACTCTAACCTTTTAAAAAATATAATCTAGGATTTCTCTCCCCAAATGACATTTCCCCTCTATTACAATATACAAGTAAGGAAAAATGCTCTCCAATTTGTGTTGACAAAGTCAAGCTTTTCATATTCATATACAGTGCTTAATTATACAGGACCCTCTCCTTTCTTATATGAGCTACTCCTGCAAAGGGGAAACTGGAAACATTATCCACAGAATTTCTCTAGACTGAAGATGGTAGAGTGTTGCCAATACTAAATTTCCTTGGTATTTTCCCATCCACACGTAGGGTATGTCTACACTGCCACCCTAGTTCGAACTAGGGTGGCTAATGTAGTCATTCGAACTTGCAAATGAAGCCCAGGATTTAAATATCCTGAGCTTCATTTGCATGTTCCCGAGCGCCGCCATTTTTAAATGCCCCGTAGTTCGAACTACCTGCCCGCGGCTACACGCGGCACGGGCTAAGTAGTTCGAATTAAAGCTCCTAATTCGAACTACCGTTACTCCTCCTGCAATGAGGATATTTAAATCCTGGGCTTCATTTGCAAGTTCGAATGACTACATTAGCCACCCTAGTTCGAACTAGCGTGGCAGTGTAGACATACCCATAGAATTTAAGGATGAACAGTTTCTCAGTTGATGCTCCTCATCTATATGCCAAAGAGTAGGATCTGCTGGATACCCATGTACTCTCTTTGCTGAGCAGAGAATTACATACATCCTCAGACAAAGTACGGTCTCCATAAAACATATTTTCTCTATGTCCCACTAATTCCTGTTTGACCAGGTCCCAGCACTTTTCAGTTAATCAAAAGGAAAGTCAGTATCACATCATCTATTCAACAGGAGCAAGCAGTGAATACCTGTGAATAAGGAGCAAGGGATTCAAACTGATGATGAAGCTCAAGCAGTTGAATAAGCTCAGCACATTCTTTTGCTTTGTCTCCAATCAACTGAATGAACATATCTGGGTTTTGGGCAAAAGCATATGCGGATTCTTTGGAACTGAAAGAGTAATATTTCTCCTTATGTTTCAAAATTCCAATAGCAGGATTTCCTAACAAATAAAGCAAAAACAAGAGTGAACCAATAAATTATATAACACGCAGGGCTCCTAGAGTGAAAGTCAGCTTCTACAAAACATCAAAACAGATGATGACCATCTTATAGCTAGTTCCCAGTAAGGATAACTATATCTACCTCCTTTGTAAAACACTTTGAAATGTACTGATGAAAAGTGCTACATAGAGCTACATGCTATTATAGTCTGGAACATGCATAAATTACAACCAGATAGTAGAAATAAAACAAATGAACAACATAAGCAAATACAGAACATATGGTTGTATGAACACTAATTATAATTTCACACACACTCAGAAACACAGAGGATTATTAGAATCACAGGTTAGGTATATAAAATGCAAAACTGTTCAATGAACTATTCTAGTTTGTTTTCTGGCATAGAAGGAATCACACAGGCTACGTCTACATTGGCCCCTATTACGGAATAGGGATGCAAATGTAGAACTTTGGAAGAGGCAAATGTGCGGGGGATTTAAATATCCCCCACGGCATTTGCATTTTCATGGCCGCCGCTTTTTTCCGGCTTGGAGATAAGCCGGAGAAAAGCGTCCAGACTGGCACGATCCTCCGGAATAAAGCCCTATTCCGAAGGATCTTATTCCTACTTGCAAGGATCTCTTATTCCTACTTGCAAGTAGGAATAAGAGATCCTCCGGAATAGGGCTTTATTCCGGAGGATTGTGCCAGTCTGGACACTTTTCTCTGGCTTATCTCCAAGCCGGAAAAAAGCGGCGGCCATGAAAATGCAAATGTCGCGGGGGATATTTAAATCCCCTGTGCATTTGCCTCTTCCAAAGTTCTACATTTGCATCCCTATTCCATAATAGGGGCCAATGTAGACGTAGCCACATAGTATATGTTGTTAAGCATATCTTTTTGCTAGTCTATGAATATTTGCAGTAAAAAAAAAGATTAATTTGAGGCATCAGTGGAAGGAAGGAACCCACCTGGGAGGAGAAGGCCATCTTTTTCAGCAAGCATGAGAGCACAAAACCCACGATACTGGATTAACAACTGATCAAAATTAGCTGTGGTTTCTGGAAAAAACCACTCTTGTTTTTTGAAATCAGAAACATTCACTTTGATTCCTGAAAGAGAATTTGGCAAAGGAAAGATGACAATAAAATACATGATATCTAAAATGTGATTTAATGGAAATCTCAAACGAAGTTCAATTATGCATTAACACATTGTGGCTTAAAGTATTGAATGCCCAGAACTCCACTAGTTTCCACAGGAGTGGAACACTTAGCAGTTCTGAAACTCAGGCTCTGGTACACAATGTCCTACTTAGGGTTTTTTTTGGTGGTATCATAGGCATCAACTTTCCCTCTAGCCAAGTGGTGCTCTCTCTCCTCCTTGTCACAGCTGTTATTACTCCTCTCAGTCTTGTCTTCTCTAGACTTAAACACCGTTTTTATTTTCAATATTCCCTCATGTTGTTTTAGATCTTTATTCATTTGTGTTGCTCTTCTCTGGACTTTCTCCAATTTGTCCAAATCTTTCCTGAAATATAGCACCCAGAACTGGACACACAACTCTATACTCTATACTGATTACTCAACCAGAATGGAAGAATTCTTTCTTGTGTCTTGCTTACAACACTCCTGCTAATACAGCCGAGATTTTTTTTTTTTGTGCAACAGCCTTACAAGTGTTAACTCATATTTATTTTGTAAACCACTGTGACCCCGACATCCCTTTTTGCAGTATTTCTTCCTAAGCAGTCATTTCCCATTTTGTATGTGTACAACTGATTGCTCCTTATGAATGGAGTACTTTGCATATGTCATTACTGAATTTCATCCTATTTATTTCAAATCATCTAATTTGTTCAGATCATTTTGAACTTTAATTCTATCCTCCAAAACAACCCCTCCCTACTTAGTACTGTCTGCAAACTTAATAAGTGTATGCGATTATCTAAATCACTGAGGAAGATACCAAACAAAACCAGACCCAGAATTGATCCCTGCATGGTCCCACTTGATATGCCTTTTAAGCTTGATGGTGAACCACTGATATCTATATCTGGGAATGTTTTTTCCAAGCCATTATGTAACCACCTTATAGTAGCTCCATCTAGGTAGTTTGTTTATGATAGCACCCAGTTGCTCCCGCAGGAATTAGGGTTCCATTCTGGTATGTATTATAGAAAATATATGCAGATATCTCAAAGCGCTTACAAGTTTAACATAAAGAATAATTTAATAACTTATATCATAGGAATAATTTTAAAAATTACATCTGAATTCCATCTCACTTACTCTTCCCAAGGGCGTTACTAGCAAAATTTCAACTACGGCATTGACAGAGCCATAGATGGAAAAGGGTCTGATTTCATATCTACAAAAGATAGTGGCAAAGTGCCCATTGACTTCACAGGGAACAGTAGTAGTCCCAGATATACAGCACACTGATAATGTAGGAGAAGAAACAGTAGCACATATAATTTTTTGTCAAGAAAGAGTCCTGTTCTGTAAAGCATGAAGTGGTCCTCTGTGGTCCTTAGCACCCACAAGTTCTGTTGCCCTCAACAGAATTGGGTAAGGACTACTACATGTCAGTAAAGATTTGCAATGTCAGGTCTTGAGAAACCTGCTCTAGTATTAGATAAGAATGTTGTACCTTTTAGAAACAGAATTTAAATCACAAAATCATATAAGGCAGTGTTTCTTAAACTTTTTAAGACCAAGGAACACCAAACAATTTTTTTAATGGGGAACACCAAGGATTTTTGTTGGGGAAAAAAAGGAAGCTTGCCCCTTATAAGGATGGCTATTTGAACTCTGTTCTATCCGCGCATCTTGACCAGATTATCTGGGACACATTACCTACACCCCCGACCTCTGTTTACTATGCCCCTGACTCTCGGGGTCAAGATGGACACATGATCAGAAGTAAAAGTAACCCCCTCTAAGAACTTTTCCCACCATCCTTCTACCCATAGGGGATGAGTATGGCCCTCACCGAACCCTCTCTGCCCTGGTGCTGGTCTCTCCCCTGCAGGTGTCTGCCCTTCTGCTTCACCCCCTGAATCCCCTGGCACCTGCACCTTTCCTAACCCCTGCACCCTCCTGGTGCTTCCTCCTTCCCTCACCACCCCCTGCCCTAGCTCCTCTCATGCCCCCTCCGGCAGCGGTGGCGGCCGCCTGTGGATGGAGGAGGCCGGGCTGGCAGTGCACAGCAGAGGCAGTCCCACAGCATGAGGGAAGGGCCACGCAGTGGGGGAAGGGGCTCGCCAGACAGCAGCGTGTGCTGCATGGGAGCTCAGAGCTCTGGACACTGCGCACCATCAGCAGCAGCCCTGGCTGCCCAGGCAAAGCAGCAAAAAGAGCCACTTATGTGCTGGGTGGAGGTGGGGAGTTGCTGCTGCACCGCGCTGGCGCTGGGCGTCTTTAAATCCAGGACCGTCCCAGAAAAAAAGGGATGTATGGACATCATAGCTCTGTGGCACACCTCCGACTGCCTTGCAGCACACCGGTGTGCCGCAGAACACAGTTAAGAAACGCTGATATAAGGACTCAGAGGGGAAAAGGAAAATGTGATAATGTTCAGTACCCATGGTTTCCTTTATCCTTTGCTCATCACTTTTCACAGTCACTCCTTGGAGAAGAGATTCCATCACATCATCAGGAAAGAGTTGTGCATGGATTCCCAAAAACTGCTGTAGACTGACCGTCAAATTAGTGAGAAAACTCAGCAGCAATATCTCATCCTGAAAGCTCGTCCAGAGGTTAGACAGTGCTACAAAGATAGGCTAGAAAGTAATTAAAAAGATCAAAAATCTACATTTGCTTTGTCTGTAAAATTAAACAAACACTGTAAAACACAGTCTCAAAAACAACTGTTAAACACAAAGGCTACATCTAGACTGCATCCCTCTGTCGGCAGAGGGATGCAGATTAGGCACGTTGAAATTGCTAATGAAGCAGGGATTTAAATATCCCGTGCTTCATTAGCATAAACATGGCCACTGCTTTTTTTCGACACAGAAAAAAAAACGGCAGTCTAGATGTGGATCTGTTGAAAATAAACCCTTTTTCGACAGATCCTATAAACCTCATTTTTTGAGGAATAAAGGATCTGTCGAAAAAGGGTTTATTTTCTTTCAAAAAAGCTCCATGTCGAAAAAAAGCAGCGGCCATGTTTATGCTAATGAAGCAGGAGATATTTAAATCCCTGCTTCATTAGCAATTTCGATGTGCCTAATCTGCATCTCCGTCAACAGAGAGATGTAGTCTAGACACAGCCAAAGGGCCCAATTCTGCATACCCTTTGCACTCAGAAATCTCACTGGAGTGCATGCAAGATCAGGCCCAAATCTTGAAATCATTTCAATTTACTTTAAAAGTAGTAAAACAACATTTTGGGGAAATATTGGAGGTGAATTGCTGAATTATATTGGAAAAGAGTCTCCCCCACCTCCCCACAAATATAATATAAATGCAAAAAGAGAAGATAAGCAGAGGAAGGCAATACAGAAGACATTTGTTTATTCGGGTTATCTATGTGATTAACTATAAAAAGAAATACAAACATACCGAGGCATAGGCAGCCTCTGTTTTCCCTCAGTCCCAAAACAGCTTAGTACAGATACAGATTTGAGAGACAGAGGCAAAAAATTTGCCTGTTATAACATATCTGAATTCACTGAGGAAATGGACAGCAGAAAATAATTACATTCCTGACTATACTGAATAGATTTTGAATGCTTTCACTGGCATCTTCAAATTTTCAGATCTTAGGACAGTAGAAAAGGGCTTCCCCCAACATCAGGAATATAGTCAATGAATTTAACATTCATCCTAGCATATTAGTATTTATGTTAATGAAGCTATTATAGGAACTGCTATAGGAGTTAGCAACACTGATGAACAGCAGAGCTATTGTGAAATACTAGGGACACAAGAAATTAAAGCAGAGGAATGCCAACAAAATATTTTTTACTATAGACAGTATCATAACCATCTTTAACTCAATTGCTGGAAAATTAGTGAGCCTAGTGTGTATCGTAAAATACTTGTCTGCTGCATTCTTAGTCCAGGCTCCATGATACATATAATAAATTATAAAATTATCTCCTGATGCTCTTTTACAGTAGAACTTTTCTGCAGCAATTTAGAAACAAGTAGGATTAAGTGATCTTGTGATGGAGAAAACTCTACCTGCAGGAGCACAGATGGAATCAAATATCTTGTACATATTCTGTTGCTGACAAATGTGAAGAAAACAAGCAAATAACCCGGTAAGGACAAACCATTCAAGAAAGGAAATATATGGTATACTTCTTAGGAGACAGAGGATATGCCTTCTTGCTTGTACTTAAAATGTGAAGAATATTTTGGCCCTCATAATAAAAATGAACAGTAGAGGGAGAGAAAAGAGAAAAAATAGCTCTTGGGAGCAGGATAGAAGAAGAAGGTATCTGCTAATGAGAGATGGACAGGATTTGTAAGATCACTAGGCATATAAAAACAAATACATTGGAACAGACCCAAGATGCCCACTATCAAGGAGAGGAGACTGGACAAGATGCAGCACTAGATACTTCAGAGGAAGGCAGAAAACCCTAGAGATGGCAGATGTGGGATAAACTGCCCCCACGTCAGGTCACAGAATACTAGAACTGGAAGCAACATTGAGAGGTCATCAAGTTCAGTCCCTTGCCCTCATGGCAGGACCAAGCACCACCCAGATCACGGCTACTCAACTTTGGAAGCCCCAGGGGCCACAACGATATTCACAGCACATGCTGAGTGCTGCAACTTAAGTGTGGTTCATATACATGCAAATATATATGCAAATAGCTTCTTTCACACAATGCCCCGATGATCCCGGCACCTCCTCCCTAGGGGCTAGACACGCTGATACCCTGTACCTGTCTGTTCCAGCCAGCCCATCTGCTTGCGTCTTTCAATGCTCACCCAACCTGGGAGACACCTTCTCATTGTGAAGCATGTTCCCAGTGGAGGCCATGTTCAAAGGATCCCTCCCGCGGGCTGTGTGTTGAGCCCCATGTAAACCCAAGTCACACCACAGGCCACAAACAAACGGGCCGTGGGCTGCATATGGCCCATGGGCCACATGTTGAGTAGCCCTTACTTAGATCATCCTTGACAGATGTCTGCCTAACCTGTTCTTAAATATCTCCAGTGATGGAGATTTTATTACCTTCCTAGGAAATTTATCCCAGTGCTTAACCACCTTGACAGCTAGGAAGTTTTTCCTAATGTCCAACCAAAATCTCCCTTGCTTCAAATTAAGCCTATTGCTTCTTATCCTATCATCAGAGACTAAGGAGAATAATTTTTCTCCCTCTTCCTTAGGTACTTGAAATGTGCTATCATGTCCCTTCTCAATCTTCTCTTTTCCAAACTAAACAAACCCAGTTCTTCTTCAGGTGATGTCCCCATGATCTCCACTGTAGATGACGGGTCTTCCCCGGAGCCACAGGATCAGAGACTTTTTCATAGCAGCTAGCATTCAGGCCGCGCATTTGCAGCGAGCCTCTCACGCTGCTAGCGGTTTGACAGTTGAGCACAACCCAACCTCCTCCCCGCAGTTCCTCTTCTACCGCCCTTGGTCAGGGACCGAGCTTTCCTGCTGCCCCAGGCATGTCTCTCCTCACAGAAATATTGTACTCTCTTTTGACCTCATTCAATTACAGATTGCGTTGTTACTTTATTTCCACTTCAAAGGGACAAAGAAAACAAATCAGGGAACACTTTGTTTCCTCAGTGCCTAGCTTCTTCAGAGGTAGCAGCTTCTCTGCTCCAGCTGGTTTTGCTTTTAAAAAAAAA